CCCCTAAGCCAGGATGAAATGGAGCTCTGTGCTTTGCAGCCCCCTGGATCATCCCAGCGCCCTCTGGGGTCAGCATCACCCACTTTGCGAAGCATTGATCTAATCTCTCCTTAACTTCTGTTTAGATTGTGCCAGTTGTCCCAAAGATATCTTTCTGGTTAGCAAAAGAACCCAGTTCAGAATCATGCATTAGGATTGGAAGTTTTTTGTTGTTAATATTTTTGAATTGAAATTAAACGTTTATCCTATGCAAACATATTTGCTTTATTTTAACAAAACAAGGCAGATCCACCAGAAATGCCGAAAGACTTTTGGAAATATTAACTTAAAACAAATTTGCTCTTTCTTCAATTACCCTGGTGGTGTAATTGATTATGTCATGGGCTCCCAACTACAAGGTCAGTAGTTTGAACCCACCAGCCACTCCACAGGATGAGGCTGCCAGCTCCCTTAGAGATTTCCCACTGACAAGCAGTTCTGCTCCACCTTGTAGGGTTGCTATGAGCCGGAACTGTCTCGTGCAGTGGGTATCACCAGTTTACCATTCAGTAACATCTTCCTGCTCCTTTTGGTGTGTCTTTCTTGGAGCTTCTTTTCAGACTGAATATACGATTGTGAGGAAAGGATATTGACTTTTTAACCATAGCCTTGCCACGGTATTACATGTTTATATGAGCAGGAACCAAGTAAGGCACAAACTTTGTGGGAGAAAATCTGACAGTAGATCAGTGACCCGTAGCTTTGATATCAGATGATGACACAGGCATACTCTGTATTTTGAGCTATTTTTCCTTTAGATAATGTTAATAGATGATCTCTTCATACTTAATATATAGATAGGCTCTAATGCATTACACCTTTGCTTTGAAGTTGTATTGCAATGCTGCTCTGTTTACTTATGGGTCTTGCCTCTCTCTCTTAGCAGGTTACTACTCAAGGATGATACTTCTTAATTTGTGTTTTATTTTGCCCCAGGAGGAGTTGGATTTGTCCTCTAGTTCCCAGATGTCTCCCCTTTCCTTATATGGTGAAAGCTCTACTAGACCCCCCTCAGCAGAGCTACTGAAGGAAGATAAGCCCATCCTTAGTCCTAGGAACAAAGCAGGTATTTTCCCATCACTTCATTTAGGTTGTTATTACTTTTTAAAGATTGGGTTTAGATTCTATTTCTTAAAAGAAAACATTGGATTAAGCTTTATGTGTATTAAAATGCTTAAAAATTAGTGGATGTATTATTCCTCTTATTATCTATCTTTCAATGGAAGATTCAGGATGTAGAGCAGTGCTTCTCAACCTTCCTAATGCCATGACCCCTTAATACAGTTCCTCATGTTGTGGTGACCCCCAGCCATACAATTATTTACCTTGGTACTTCATAATTGTAATTTTGCTACTGTTATGAATCGAGTGACCTCTGTGAAAGGGTTCTTTGATGCCCAAAGGGGTCGTGACCCACAGGTTGAGAACCACTGATGTAGAGGAATGGGAAGCAGCAATCATTTTTGATTGTCTCTGTATTGATAAGTGAAAGATACTTTAAAATTGATTTAGGTTCTCTCATCTTCAGAAGAGATTCTAACATTTCAGTTAAAGATATTGCCTATAAAGGCTACTTAACTCTGACATTTGCTACTACATTCATTTCCAGACTTTACTCGGTAATGTTAGCAATTTTGCCAGTTCAGGTGTCCGTTTGCCAAGGTTTCATGCTTCGTCATAGAGAAAGGCTTCAGAATCAAGGCTTTTCTCTAGTCCAGAAGGATGTAGAGTGTAAGTTCAAGTATCAGCTCATTGGGCAAGATAATGTGTAGGGAGGGTGGGGGTGGTGGAGATAATGTATAGAGAAAAGTGTGTAATAGAATTTGCTTTCTAGGATTTGCCTAATTACTGTCAGGTTGATTTGTGATCTGTTTGGTTTTTCTCTAGAAAATGGACTGACTCAAAAGAAAAAAATTCAGACAAATTCAAAACCTTCAATTCAGCCCAAGCCTTTATTGCTTCCAGCAACACCTAAGACTCCAACCAATTCCAGCGTTCCAGCAAAAGCCATCATTATTCAGGCACTACCAACCCTTATGCCCTTGGCGAAGCAGCAGCCTATTATCAGCATACAACCTGCGCCTACTAAAGGTGCCCGAGTGGGATTTGGGGTGGTGCATAATTTAATTGGAGGGCAGGGTGGCCTCCTATAATTTTTAAAATTCCCGTTATAATTTATGAGCGTGTGCTATTGTCCTTGGCTCCGAGGCTTTGGTCGAGATGGCTGCTCTGTGGTTTCTGTGCTAACACGGAGTCCCTGGGTGGTAGTAACTGAAAGGCTGGAGATTCAAGTTCCCCTACAGGCATCTTGGAAGAACTGCCTGGTGATCTACTTCTCAGAAATGAGCTACTGAAAACCCTACGGAGCTTGGTTCTCCTGGACACCATGTGGGACTGCCATGAGTTAAGAGTTGACCTGACAACTTGTTGGTCCTAGTAAAGGAGATAACTATCTAGATCAGTTTAATCGGATATGGAAATCCGTGTCTCTGAGACTTTTGGTTTCAGATAACCACTTCTAATGAAGAAGAAAAGCTAGGAAACTTTCTTGGTGTCATTTTATTATGAAATTTTTGTGACTATGAACTTTTTATTTTTAAAGAGATTAATCTTTAAAATAATATGGTCTGTTTTAGATCTACGACATGTGTTTTGGCAATAGAATGAATCTCTGATAAGACCATATTGTTTGGTTAACAGGATATTGAACTTGGGCATTAGGAGGAGACCTGGGCCCTATGGACCCAAACCCACATTCAACCCATTACCACTGAACTGATTCCAACTCATAATGACCATGTAGGACAGGGTAGAACTGCTTCTTAGGGTTTCTGAGACTGTACACCTTTATAGGAGCAGATAGACTTGTCTTTTTCCTGTTGAGCCACTGATAGGTTCTGTAACTGACTTTGCAGTTACCGCCCAGTGCTTATCCTGTAGCACTACCTGGGCTCCTTTGGGACCTACGAAGGTTCCCTGATGGTGTTGTTAGATAAGGGTTGAACTGCAAACTTCAGGGTTGGAATTTCAAGCCCACCATCTGTGGCATGAGACTGCCTGCTCCTGTAAGGATTTTCAGCCTTTTGTATGGTCCCTATGAGTTAGAATCAACATGATGGTAGTGAGAAGGAGACCTGTACTGTGCCTTGAACTAGCTAAGAAGCTGTGTGTTTCTATATTTTATCCTCCAAATGGGCTCACAGGCCTGTAATTCTACAAGAGGTGTAGGTCCATGTTGAAAGATCAAGTGTGTGATTTAGTACTATTGAGATATCGAAAACCTTTGGTTATAGAGATCTTACAGATAGTAGTATTCACCCCAGTATATGTAGACATGGTACAAGAAACCTTGTGCAGAATTCTTTTCTCTGTATTTTGCTTAATGCCAGATCAGACTAGGTGTTAATAGAGTATGAGTGGTAAGTACATACCTGTGTTAGGCTTTGGTTTTCTAGGGAAGCCAAACTAGCAAAACCAAAATTATGTAAAGAATTTCATATCAAAAAGTGGCTCACTCAGTTATGGAAGCAGTTTAGTTCTCTCTGGTTCAAATCTTTGGGTCTGATGTTAAACTGAAAGCTTTTCCTGAGTTAAATTACTGATGAACCAAGAAGCAGGAAGATGAACAGGCTGACAGAGGCAGAGGTGGATGGATCTATGATCATTAAGTCAGGAATGTGGTTGCAAATTCAAATGTGTTCAAGGTCAGCAGGTATTATGGCAGGCTGCGGATAGCTCCCAGTGTTCGTAGGCAGTATGGCAGGTTGATAAGCCAGATGCAAGATCTAAACCAGCCAGAAGGGAGAAGCCTTCCTATAGAGCATGCCTAAATAGGTGTAGGCTATGCCTCCAGTGAAACTTCCTTTCAGTTGTATTAGGGCTGTGACATGATTAAGGGGTAGAACTCTCTATCTTAAGCACTGGAAGTACTTACTTATCAATCCCAGGAAATTTGGAAGGCAGCTTCTTGGCCAGTTGACTAAAAGATCCATATCTGTGCCCATTCCAAAGAAAGATGACCCAACACAATGTTAGAGAACAGTATCACTGATACCACATGCAAGTAAAATTTTGCTGAAGATCATCCAACAATGGTTGCAGCAGTACATTGTCAGGGAGCTGCCAGGCTCCTTGCCAGGCTGGATTGAGAAAAGGTTCTGGAACAAGGGCTCCATTGCTGGTCAGATGGATCTTGGCTGAAAGAAGAGACTACCAGAAAGATGTTTACTGGTGTTATATTGACAGTGCCAACTACAAACTAATGGATAGCCCTGAGAAGAATGGGCATCTCCAAACACTACAGTGCAGAACTGGATCAAGAGGCAGTGTGTGAACAGAACAAGGACATACTGCATGGATTAAAACTAGGAAAGGTGTGCGTCAGAGTTGCGCTCTCTCACCATACTTATTCCATCGGTATGCTGAGCAAATCAGAGAACCTGGGTTAAATGAAGAGGAATGGGGCATCAGGATTGGAGGAAGGCTTATAACACAACACTTTGCTTGCTGAAAGTGAGGAAGGCTTAAAACACTTGCTGAGGAAGAACAAGAATCACAGGCTTCAGTATGACTTCCAAATTAATGTAAAGAAAACAAAAATCCTCACAACTGGACCAGTAGGTAACTTCATGATCAATGGAGAAAAGATTGAACTTGTCAAGGGTTTCACCTTGGTTGGATCCATAATCAAGCTCATGGAGGCAGCAGTCAAGAGATCAAAGGTTGCATTGCATTGGGTAAATTTGCAGAAGACCCCCTCAGTGTGTTCAAAAACAAGGAGGTTGCTTTGAGGACTAGCGTGTGCCCTACCCAAAACATTGTAACTTCAATAACCTCATATGCATTCAGAAGTTGGACATTGAATAAGGAAGACCAAAGAATCACTGCCCTTGGACTATGGTGCCCGTGAAGAATATTAAGTTCCACGGACTACTACAAGGACAAACAAATGTCTTGGGGAAAGTATGGCCAGAGTGCTTCCTAGAGGCAAGGATGATGAGGCTTCATCGTTCATACTTTACACATGTTGTCAGAGGCTATTGTTCCTAGAAGAGGACATCATGCTTGGTGAAGTAAAGGGGCAGCACAAAAGAGGAGGACCTTCAACAAGGTTGATTGACACAGTGACTGCAGCAGTGGGCTCAGGAACAATTGTGAGGATGGCACAGGACCGGGCGGGCGGTGTTTTGTTCTGTTGTGCATAGGGTTGCTATGGGTCAGAACTGACTTGATGGCATCTAACAACAACTCTCCACCCTAATCTTCCCCAAACTGCCACAGTAGGTCCCATCAGGGAGTTGACATTATGTTCTATTGAATCACGGGGGAAGCCTCAACTGCCCAAACCCCTGAGGATCCTGGCCTAACCAAGCTGATGCAAACCCTCGTGATCACAATACTAACTTGCGCTGGCCTCTGTGGCCATATTTACAGCTGTGGATAGTTAGATGATTTCTTTGGAGCATGGTTTTAATGAAGGCAAGGCCAAAAATTTGATTTCCAGGTGCTTGTTACCTTTGGTCTGTTCCAAGGTCATATGACATTGATCCAAAGAAGAGCTAGGTGAGAGGATGGATGATTTTTCCTGATGGGTGGAATGAGAAGGTGGTGGGAAATACTGATTGGATGATATGATTCAACTGTGAGTAATTGTTAACAAGGTTAATTGTGATTGGCATCCTACTGGGTATAAAATGAGCCATCTCAGGAGTAGGGGGTGGGATCTCACTATCACCAACCAAAAGAGCCAGTAGTGGAAGCATTTTTGGGGGGTGGTGGGGGTTACTGAGAATTTGCCTGTGTACCTCCTTGATCCAAGAGGCAGCATTGACACCAGAGGAGCAGCAGAGCAGAACCAACTCCTACTATAAATTCTTCATCCCAACCACCTTTACTTGCATGACAGAGAGTGGTGGACTTCCCAGCCCACACAGTAAGTGAAGTTGAGCGCTCTGGGACATAAGACTGGCTTGCGGAGCGGGATACCTATGGGCGTTTATTTGTGTTGACCCACACAGCTGGAGCTGAGTGCTTTCAGGTTGAGGCTGTGGCAGAGTGACATGCCCTTTGGGCATTTATTGGTAGCCCTAAAGAACATTGGAACATTGCCATAGCAGGGCAGAGGCTAGCCTAACTCAGAAGAGATTTAGGGTGACTTCCACATTTCTGTCTTAGACTTTTGGGTGGATCATGGTGGAAATCATTGAATTGGGGGAGAGTGGTAAAATAACTTGCCCCAGGTCGTTCTGCTACTATGAAGTAGAGCCAGAGCTCCAGCCCAGGTGGTGTGGCTCAGAGGCAACATAATGAATCACTGTGGTTTACAGTCTTCCATGGTTGCCCTTTACTGTTATGTAGATTTGCTCTCACTTTGAAATGATTACATTAACTCCTACTCACAATAAATTCTTCACCACTACCACCTCTTCTTGCACGTGCAGCTTTTAAGTCATTGAAAAGGTTTGGAGCCTTTTCTTGCACTGAAGTAAAAGGTAAATAAGAACCATATGCATCTGTTCTGACTTAACGTACAAATTCTTAAAGACACAATCCCTTGTAACCCAGGGACTACTTGTATTCTGACTGGGAATTCCCAGAACATTTCACCCTTATAAGGCCGAATTACTTTCTGCTTGCCTTCTGTTGTTGTTACCTGTGTTTTCAGTACTGCGCAGTATTTTGAATAAAAAGAAAATAAAATTAGCCAACTGTGGGTGCCTTTGTCCTGAGAGGGGTCTCTGTGTTGGGTTGAAACCAGGTTCTTTAGATTCATGCCGTTTTAGAGGCTTCCACCAGATGGCAGCATGTGATAAAAGTGGGATAGCAGTTCCCACTACATCCCTGAGGCAGAGAATCTAGGTGGGCTCTATTGTGTGCTCCGTTCTCTTATGGAGTCCCTACATAAACCAGGACGCGGTCATTTGAACAGAACAAGGATGTACTGCATGGCTTAAAATTGGGAAAGGTGTATGCGTCAAGGACTTTTACTTTTCACATATTTATTCAATTTGTATGATGAGCAAATGGCTATATATAAAGAACATGACATCAGGATTGTGATACCCAGGTGACACAACCTTGCTTGCTGAAAATGAAGAGGACTTGAAGCTCTTACTGATGAAGATTAAAAAACTACAGCCTTCAGTCTGGATTATACCTCATACAGAGAAAACAAAACAGAGAAAACAAAATCCTCACAACTGGAGCAGTAAGCAACCTTATGATAAATGGAGCAAAGATCGAAGTTATCAAGAATTTCATTTTACTTGGATCCAGAGTCAGTGCCCATGGAAACAGCAGTTAGAGGTCAAATGATGTATTGCATCGGTCAAACCTGCTGCAAAAGACCTCTTTAGAGTGCTAAAAAGCAAAAATGTCACTTTGAGGACTAAGGTGTATCTGACCTAATCCATGATATTTTCAATTGCACCATTTGCATGCAAAAGCTGGGTAATGAACAAGGAAGACCAAAGAAGAATTGGTACATTTGAATTACGGTGTTGGTGGAGAATAATGAAAACACCCTGGACTGCCAAGAGAAAGAATAAATCAGTCGTGGAAGACGTACAGCTAGAATATTCTTTAGAAAGGAAGATGAAAGACTTCATCTAATTTAACTTTGGACTTGTTTTCAGAGCATCATGCTTGGTAGAAGGTCGGCAGAAAAGAGAAAGCCCCTTAACAAAATAGATGGACACCATGGCAGAAACAGTGGGCTTCACTGTGCCAACGGCTCGGCCAACATTGTGTTCTCTGCAAATTGAGAGCACAGAAGAACAATTGCTTATTGCTTCTAAAAAATGTTGAGATGTTTGCTGTAAGACTTTACAGTCTAATTGGGGAGTTAATAGGTTTTCATCATTAAAAGACAGTCACTAGGGGGGAGCGGGGAGGGAGGGGAAAAATGAGGACCTAATGTCGGGGGTTTAAATGGAGAGAAAATGTTTTGAGAAACGATGTACAAATGCGCTTTACACAATTGATGTGTGTATGGATTGGGATAACAGTTGTATGAGCCCCTAATAAAATGTTAAAAAAAACCCCAAAAAACAGTCACTAAAAACTTTGTAATGAAATAATACATGTAATAAATGCCATTATGGAAGCCACCAGGGCTCCTAACCTTCTAGCTCTTTACTGTGTGCTGACACTGTTGTAAATACTTACGTGCATTTTCTTACTTAAACTGTAACATCAAGGAGAGATGTTTTTATTATCTTCCTTTACATTAAAGAAAACTAAGTCATTCAGTTTTACCACCTTACATCAAGTAAGCATTCAGTACACGTTTGCTACAGGGGTTGAAATCTTTGAGGAAAGCTGCAAAATGAGGCTTGGCGCTCCAGACCTGTGAGTAATAATACCCAGGCAGGGTATCCAGCATTGAAGCCAGCCGCGTTCCATTATGGAGGATTTGCATGTCGTGTCAGAGAGGATTTTGAACATGCTGACATGGATAAATAGACTTTTGGTGTGTTCTTTTAACTGTGTCCACACTAGAACAGTAGTAACAATGTTCAGCTGTTAACAATTTAGACCCCTGAACTGTCTTCTTACACTGCAGGCTCGTAGTCTGGTCAATGTTTAGTAGGACACAGGAGCGATTTTGGTTTTTTTACTCGAAGCCATGCAATAGACATTTACTTGTTTTCTCCCATTGTGTTTTACAACCAAACATGCCTAAAATACTTAGAGGGCCCTCGATAGAGCTGCTGGTTCGTTTCAGGATCGTTGGGCCTGCTGCGCATTACAGAAAGGAACCAAAGACAGCAGTCATCTTGTGGTGACTCGAGCCACATTTGGTACACAGACTTTGCGTTGGTATCCCTCCGTCCCCGCCTCCTTCGATGCAGTTCTTTCAGCGAGGAGATGGTGATAACTAGGCAGGGGACAGCACACACTTGTATTATTCTCAATTAGCTCTAAGAAATATTACAAAGATTTCCATGTTACCTACCAGTGCTTCACATATACATCTGTAACTGAAAGTAGAATCCTTTCTTTGAAATGGTTTAAGAGTAAATAAGTATAATTAAAATCTAACACTTGGTCATGAGCTATTTTATGTATTTTTCACTTGCCTGTCTGGCCTAAGCAGTTTTATATCCGCTTATGAATCACTTCTGTGTTTTATGTTTTTCTTTCTTTTTTTTTTTGTCAGTAGTGGAATGATTCACCCTTTTTACTTGCAAAGGGTGAACAGAAAGCTGTATTTCTCTAGGACATTTATAAAGAGTTATCTTCACCTTGAGAAGAAACTGAATAAGAATAAATGTCCTTATGTTTTTATTTCATAAAAGAAGTTAGTTCGTTTAAATGGAGAGAAAATGTTTTGAGAAACGATGTACAAATGCGCTTTACACAATTGATGTATGTATGGATTGGGATAACAGTTGTATGAGCCCCTAATAATGTTTAAAAAAAAAAAAAGAAGTTAGTTCAGGGAGAAATGACAAGATAAAAATTTAGTGATTGTACCTAAATACGTTGTATAGATTATAAATCCAAAATTATTTTTATATTTTTCTTATTAATCTGCTGTAAAATGGTATTAATTTAAATCCTGCTACTGTAGTATGATTTTTGAGGCCATCTGAAACAGAATTGTTTTTGTAAAAGTGATTTTTTTCTTGTAGACAATGTTCTTAACAATTGTGTTCTGAAGCAACAAAATTTTGATTTTTAGTGTTTGATCTTTTGAAATACTGAACTGAGTTTTATGTGGTTCACATTAAACTTTCTGAAAGTATAATGCTGTTGTTATTCCTACAGAAGAATTATACATTTTATATGGGTTTTTAGTTGCTCGTTACTGTTGTACCTGTATTTTGCAATGTAGGCCTCAAGCACCTGTGGAAATTAGGCCAGGCTTTCGGCACCTTATATACTTGGCTAGATCTGAAAGGAAACACTCAGCAGGCAAGGAAAAATTTTAATAGATGAGTGCTACGAATTATATTAGCCTTCCCTAGTACAGCGATACTAACTCTCCTCAGATCAGTGTAATTCTAAAGTCATAATATGAAGACTAAGAAAAGATTTAGTGGGTCATTTGTTGGTGGAGGGAGAGCTTGTGTTTGCTATAGAGTATTCTAAATGATACACCTATATGTTTATTGAACTTATTAACTAAAAATTCATTTAAAATTGTTTTAAATTCATTCATAAAAATTCATTTAAAATTGTTTATTTTTGGTACCGTTCCTTGTTCCTGAGTTTCTGATAATCTATTTTTGGTCTTGTATATTTAGAAACCTATTCATTTAAAATACATGATCCTCTGTATTTAGTATAAAAGGTTGTTTTTTTTAAAAAAAGGTTTGTTTTTTATAATATGAAAAAATCCATTTAGCACTAATAAACTTTAGCAGTTAATACTTGGAGAAAGGCACCTCTCACTTAGCAAATTTGATATATGTATAGTTGAGAAAAAGGAATGTGGAAGTGATAAGATCAAATGGAATGTTAAAGTAATTGATTACTTTAACACACACACAATGTGGGATGCTATTGATCGTGTTTTATTTTTTAAATCGTCTTATTAGGGGCTCATACAACTCCTATCACAATCCATACACACATCAATTGTGTAAAGCACATTCGTACATTCATTGCCCATTGATCATGTTTTAGTTGGTGGTTCAGATCCCTCAATGTGACCCTTCTTCTGCCTGCAGAAGATGCCCAACTATTGAACTGCTTTCCCTGCCACAGGGATGTACGCCTGCTGATTCATTTTCTGTCTGTCTCTGCTGCAGGCCAGACCCTTCTCCTCTCTCCGCCTCCTGTGGTACAGCTCCAGGCACCTGGAGTCTTGCCCTCTCCTCAGCCAGTCCTTGCCATCCCCAGAGGATCCACACAGCTACCTAATCACATGGTGAATGTGGTACCAGCCCCTGTGACAACCACCCCGGTGAATGGAAAACTCTCCATGACCAAGCCAGCCCTACAGAGCACCGTGAGGAGTGTGGGTTCAGATGTAAGTTTTGAAAGTTAGTGCTCTTTTGTTGTCTGATTAAAAAAACACACCAATTTTTTTCTTTTCATTACTTTGTTTCATTAAAAAGTTTGTTATATCACATTAGATTAAAAAAAGTGTGCTGACATTGCATATCCAGTCTTCGTTGGAAAATTAGGGAAAGGCTTATTATGTTAGCATCTAAATGAGAAGGTTTTAAAATGTCCATAATGTTTTACCCAAAAGTGCAATATGCATGCCACCCTCTACTTTATTCATTCTTTAAAATGCTCTCATCAAGCTCCTCCTACCCTTCCCCCTGCCCTTTCCCAATTGTTCATTAATATTTTACAGGATTCTTTCATGTTTTCTGATTGAAATACTTTTGGCAGCTCCTTAGAGAAGAGTCTGTAGACCTACTTTCTAGGCAGAGTTTCTATTTAGCATACTCCTTTGCTTTGAAGAGTACCCACCACTGCATAAGAATGATCTGCTGCTTGTAGGAATTCTTTCTAGTAATGATTGATGATTTGATACTTTTCTATCTTTGCAGACCTTCAGCTATCCCAGCATGTTGTAGGGGCTTCTTGTCATTTATAAGTCACAGAGCATTCCTGAGTTCTGTCACTCTCCCCAAACCAGTGACTGCACTTGCAAGTTAACTCTTACTCTCTTCAAAATGATTAAAACATCTATGATGTGCACTGAGCAATAATTGAATATCATGGCCCTAACGTGTAAAGAAAGTTAAAGTCAAGTAATCAGGATAATTGTGGATCCTCTGAAATGTTGATCGGGAAAGCAAAACCCTGTGTCTTCCTTTAAAACAAGAGTGAATAACACCACTGGTTACCTCACTGGTCCCTATCTCTCCTTTTGGTGTTGCAGAGTATCTAAGAAATCCTGTGAGTTCTGCAGTTGCTCTATCAGACTACTGCCCGGTGTGTCTAATATAAACCTTTGACCCACACATCAGTTGTGAGATTGTTCTATAAACACAACTAAGTAATCTCAAAAGTATTGTAAAGTAGTTATAAAAGGAATATTATCTCATGAAAGCAGAATATACAAGTCTTAGAATAAGAATCCCATAATTTCTTTAAAAAAATCATTTTTGGGGGGGCTTGTACAACTCATCACAATCCACACATACATCCATTGCGTCAAACACTTTTGTACATTTGTTTCCCTCATCATTCTCATAACATTTGCTTTCTACTTGAGCCCTTGGTATCAGTTCCTTATTTTTCCCTTCCCTCTCCTTCCTCCCCATGAACCCTTGATAATTTATAAATTATTATTATTTTGTCATTTTATACCATCTGACGTCTCCCTTCACCCACTTCTCTGCTGTCTGTTCCCCAGGGAGGAGGCTATATGTAGATCCTTGCAATTTGTTCCCCCTTTCTCCCTCACCTTCCCTCCACCCTCCTGAGAATCCCATAATTTCTATAGCTATTGAAAACGGTGTATGCCATGACATGGAGGAGGAAATTGAATGCATTATGAGAAGAGAGGCCATGGAGAGCCTTGATTGCTGTGAATTTGAGGAATAGAAACGGTAAGACAGTGCTTCTGGCTTGTTAGTGTGTACCTGGGAGTTGATTCCAATTCTAGGAATCTTATCGGACCGGGTAGAACTTGCCTCACAGGGTTTGTAAGGTGTCCTAGACTCTAATCTTTATAGGAGCAGATCACAGGATCTTTTCTCTCTCTCAGCTGGTGAGTTTGAACCATCAGTCTTTGGTTAGCAGCCTTTGGTTGCCAACAGGGATCCTCACTGATGGCGTAGTAAGTAGTAGTATGTCTTCGTAAGTACTAGTATGTGGTATGTGTTTTCATTGCAAATGAAATGATAGTGATGCTGACATTTCCTCTCAAATTCTTCACTGGAGTTTGCAGGGTTTGCATAGGGTAGAGAAAACATGTTTGGTAAAATGTTATAAATCATTGAAACTAGATATTCAATATATTCTTTCTCCTTTGGGGTACATGGGAAAATTTCCAGAACAGGTAAAAGAATAATATAAAAATCCAAAAATACTCTGATATTTTTCAATTAAAAGGTTATACAACTAATAAAAGAGAAAACGAATATGCTTTTCCCAAGAGACAGAAACACTGAGGATCACTGAAAAAAGATTTTTTTTAAATGATCCTCAAGAATGTTAAAATATGTTTTAAAGCAGGCGTTCTCAAACTACGGCCTGCGGGCCACATGCGGCCCACCCACCGAGGATATTTATCCAGGCCGCCGGGTGTTTTTGCCCCATTTTGTTTTTTACTTCAAAATAAGATATGTGCAGTGTACATAGGAATTTTTTTTTTCAAAGTGCATAAGAATTTGTTCATAGTTTTTTTAAAACTATAGTCCGGCCCTCCAATGGGTCTGAGGAACAGTGAACTGGCCCCCTGTTTAAAAAGTTTGAGAACCCCTGCTTTAAAGTATGAATCTGAGATCTTTTCTAATATCCCAATATGAAACCAGCAATAGGAACTATTCAGAGTTGTTTTTATATAATAAATACTTAAAGTACTCTTTTAAAAAAATCATTTTATTGGGAGCTCTTACAGCTCTTTATCACAATCCATACAGCCATTGATTGTGTCAAGCACATTTGTGCATTTGTTGCCACCATCATTTTCAAAACATTTTCTTTCTACTTGAACCCTTGATATCAACTCATTTTTTTCTCTCCCTCCCCCACCCTTCCTCCCTCATGAACCCTTGATAAGTTATAAATTATTTTTTTTCATGTCCTACACTGACTGCTGTCTCCCTTCACCCACTTTTCTGTTGTTCATCCCCCTGGGGTGGGTGTTATATGTCTATCATTGTGATTGGTTCCCCCTTTCCATCCACACCTTCCCCCTACCTTCCTGGTATCACTACTCTCATGATTGGTTCTGAGGGGCTTATCTGCCCTGGATTCCCTAGGTTGTGAGCTCTTATCTGTACCAGTGTACATGCTCTGGTTAGCTGGATTTGTAAGGTAGAATTGGGATCATGATAGTGGGGGCTAGGAAGCGTTAAAGAACTAGAGAAAAGTTGAATGTTTCACCGGTGCTATATTGCATCCTGATAGCTCATCTCCCCGCGACCCTTCTGTAAGGGGATATGCAAGTGTCTGTACATGGGCTTTGTGTCTCCACTCTGTCCTCCCCCTCATTTTCACCAATATGATTTTTTGTTCTGGGTCTTTGATGCCTGATACCTGATCCCATTGACACCTCATGATCATACAGGCTGATATGTTTCTTCCATGTGGACTTTGTTGCTTCTGAGCTAGATGGTTGCTTGTTTATCTTCAAGCCTTTAAGACCCTGGACTCTATATATCTTTTGATAGCTGGGCACCATCAGCTTTCTTCACCACATTTGCTTATGCAGCATTTTGTCTTTAGTAATCGTGTCAGGGAAGGTGAGTATCATAGAATGCCGGGTTATTAGAACAGAGTGTTCTTGCATTGAGGGAGTACTTGAGTAGAGGCCCAATATCTGTTTCCTACTTTAATACTTAACATATAAATATATGTACATAGATCTGTTTCCCTATCGTTATATATAAATATATTTACATACGTACATGCCTGTGTTTATACCTCTAAATGTCCTTTGCCTCCTAGTTCTTTCCTCTATTTCCTTTTATTTTCCTCTTGTCCCACTATCATGTTAACCTTCATTTGGCTTTCAATATTTCTTTTTAAGAAGTGTTTTAGACATGTATCAAAAGCTAAAGACCAATTGGAACTTTTTAAAAAATGTAGCGTCAACAGTATGGTGTTGTTGTCAAAAGATGAGCATAATGATATGCTACATAGAAGTAATAGACTTATAATATTTAGATCATGGGAAAATCCAGAGGAACAAAGCTAGAATAGGGAGAAAAATCAACAACCCATGGCAGAGGAAGAGAAATTATTTCAGGGCTGGGGCAGTGTTGTAAGCTGGAGCATAGAGAACTGAAAGGAGGCTGGGAGCAATCTTCTAGGAAATGAAGGTTATCATATGGAACACAGGAAGAATTGTTATAGATTGGTCCAGAGGAGTTATCTGGAACAAGTGCATGTAAGATATAGAAAGGCCCTTTTCAGACCTAAGAATCTGTAATATTCTCCCTTATGTTTAAAAACCAAAGGTGTCCATCTTTCCTCTGCTAGACTTAACGAGGACATCTTAATGTTGGCAACTGCCATTATATGTATCTGACCAACTTTGCACTCTAAAACTCCAAACCCAGTGCCATTGAGTCGATTCCAAGTCCTGGCTACCTTGTGTAGGTGTCCAAGGATGTAAATCTGTATGGGAGCAGAAAGCCGCATCTTTCTCCTGCTGAAAGATTGGTGAGTTTGAAGCACCAAACTTGCAGTTAATAGTCCAATGCTTGCCTGATAGCCCCACCAGGGTTCCGGGCCCCTTTGTACTTAAACACATTTTATGTTGGTTTGATCATCAGACATCCTTTATTAGTTCCTTGGTGTTAAAGACCATGTCTCATCTGGTTTTCTGCTCTTACTGGTACTCTGTGAATTTGTTGAGTAATTTACTGATGATATCTCAGTCACCACTGAGGAACAGCACGTGTGAGATGAGAAAATATAGAATCAACACATGTTAACTTTTATGTTTAGTACTATTTGTTGGCTAGACTTAGGAATTTTCAAAATGTGGAATAGACAGTATTATAAAAGAAAAACTCTAGTCTGTGTGTTTAATTCAAGACCTAAAAACAATTAGAATAATTTACTAGTCAACCTGCCTTGAGGGTCATGTGTGTATTTTTACTTGGCACACTAGGAAGTCAGCCAAACCTGTTAAGTATGATTTTTCGGATTGAGATTTTGACTACATCTTTGTTTCAAGTTAAGCATCCGTCTGCCCTATCAGCTGGCCAAGTCACTTAGGAACCAAAAGCAAATCTGTTCCAGAAGGCGCTGCAGAAGAGAACTTTGATCTGCCCACAAAGTCTCCTGTGTTAGTACTTGGTTGACCTCCACAGTGCATGTGTTTGTTAGACTCAA